GGGGATTTAGCTCAGCGGCATAAGCGCCTGCCTTGCAAGCAGGCAGTCGTGAGTTCGATTCCCGGTACCGATAAAAAGGAAAAAGACAAAAAAAATTTAAAATAAAAAAAAAAAATAGAAATATGCTCTTAGAACTTATGTGGGTAAAGGGCGTTGCTGTGTTTTCTGTTAGTGGGTTTGGGCACCAAGGAATGGCAGGGTTTTGTTATTGACTATGACCCAGAGGATCTGATTTAGGAGCATGACACAAATAAAATTATTATAAAAGTACCGCCTATTCCCAAGGCAGACTCTAGATCAATTATCATTGTTTTCTGTTTTTCATCAACCAGGGATCTACAACTCTGCCTATAACACATTAGAATTCTCTCATGTTCTCATCTTTAAAATGTTTTGTTTTTGTTTTTTCATGCTTTTGTAGTCATACTGTTGCTGCTTTTTGGAAGTATTTGATTTTATGGATAAAAGATAAAAAGTATCTCATGAAATGTGTAATAATACAATTTTAATGAACTAATCAGTTGTTGAGAACTTATTCTCATATATTGTAACACAACATTCACTCCCTTTTGGTTTACACTCTGAAGTGCTAATGAAGTATTTGTTTTCTTTTGTAGACTGTTGCTATTTTTACTGAATTTCCTCAGTTAACTAGCCAACCCAGTACACTTCTTGATTCTTTCCTTAAGGAAATTGTGGCCAGAGTGAGAGAGCAACATGATTATTTTATAAGCAAAGCATGTATCTCCTATCACTGAGTTTTACCCATCAGGTCCCAGTTCATGTATTAAATATTATGCCCTACTGTGATGGTATTTGCAGAAGACACATTTGGGAGGAAAATGGATTAGATGGTAGGATGAAGCTGGGATGACTTTCATGGTGGCGGTGACAGTGTCCTTGTAAGGAGAAACACTACTCTGTCTGTCTCCTTCTCATCTGCTCATACTCTTTGTTCTCATAAATCAGAGAACATTTGAACAAGCAAAAGGATGACCACTTCTTACAACCAAAAAGTAAGCCTTAACTAGTGATCAAATCAGACAAAACTTAGGGCTTTTCTAGCCTCCAGAACTGTGGGGAAATTTATCTCTGCAATTTAAGATGACTGGGCCATGGCAGTATGTATGGCAGCTTGAGCTGAACAAGCAAGTGGCTCTGGGAGGAAAAATAAGCTTCTAACTGGTGAAGAAAGAAAGAGAAGGTAGAAATATTTTTCTTTTTCCAAAATAGTATGTTTTGTGTGAGGGTGTATGTGTGCCTACTAATGTGAAGAAGCAATCATTTAAATAACTATTGAAAAGATCATCAAATATATTTTCTAAGAATTCCATTTGTAAGAAGAAAAACTTAAGTTACACACAGTGAGCCTAAGTGTATAATAAAAACACTGAGAGCCATACCCAGGGTCAACATGTACTGGCAACGTACTACAGTGAGTCTGTCTTTCTCTTGGGTGGCACTTGACAGCAGCAAACACTGTGTTTTAATCATACCTCATAAAGACACTCACAACAAGCACTCCGAGAATGGCTTCAGAAAGTGACAAGAATGATATGATACATTAACTCAACTTAAGTGCGGGTATTTTGTGAGTGATTAATATTAATGCACCTTCTTTACTAATTTTCATCACATATTTCAATATTACCTAATGAAATCATGTATCATTCAAGTTTTATTTCTTATTTGTCTTTCTTGTTATTCTATTTTTATTGAATTTTATTGGTACAATTTAGATGTATGACATAATGGCCGCATTCTTCAGAGGGAATTTGTATCTGTACGTGATGCAGCTATATCTTGATTACTTTTCCCCCCAGTCCTGTCCTGTTGTCAAACCCCTCCCCGCTTCCATACGCAAAGCTTGGATTCAGTCTACCCATCTTTTTCTCATTTTATCTTTCACTTCAAAATAAAAGGCTGAGGTCCAGGGTTATTTTCAGCATCACTCCAGGACTTGACTGCTATTGTGTGTGGGTCCCATGCTTCATTCTTGCTTCCTCAGTTTTCACACAATGTCCATTTGTGTTCCAGGATCCCATTCAGAATAAACCAATTCCTCCAGTTATCTATGTGCTTAAAGTACTCTGGGTTGTCTTTTTAATGGTCTTGACAGTATTGATGAATGTACTGATTATTTTCTGGACTTGCTTCAGTTCGATTTTATTCTGTTTTTCTCATTATTAGGATTCTGCTCCTACTCCTCATCTGCTCATAGTTTTGTTCTCATAAATCAGGGGTGGAGGTTTCTGTTAAGGAGGTTCACACATGTGAATTAACATTCTGACCACATCACAACAGGAGTACATACTATTGATATGGTTGGTCATTGGTACTGCTAACCTTGGTCACGTTGTTGTACTAGAGTCCATTGGGTTTCTCTACAGTGAAGTTCTCTCTGCTTCTTTCACACTGCAAACTTTGGAAGGAAGTTGTTATATGTGACTCACATATAATGTGCGGGGAGTTCATATCCATGTCCTTGCAGAGTCTACACAGGAAACACCAAGGATTTTTCTAAAGAGGGCATTGGGTTACCCTAGTTTCAAAATATATAATAAAAATCTCTTCACTAAGGTATGAAAATATATTTTATAGTTAAGCTAATAATGAAGTTGTTAAATTTTATGTTATTTGTTTCTCCTTTTGTTTTGTTTTAATTCACTAAAAATTTACATTTAGTGCCTGTGGTATTTTGCACTAAATCTATCATTAGTTCTCTTCACTTTTCCCTTCTACCTTCTGTCTCTCCCTCCCTTCCTTCCTTCCTTCCTTATAACTTCTTTATTTTTCTATATTATACAGATAGAAATGAATGACTGAATAATTTAGAAATAGAGGAGAACCCACAGATATCCCATACAGAAAAATTTCCAGTAATTTATGCAGATACTCTGCCCTCAAGGACAATGAAAACATTGCTACTTCTTATATTTGAATTCCACATACAGAATTTCAGCAATTTCTTAGGCTCTGAATATTTTCAGAGAACGTGTTATGTGACCCATATGGTTCTTGAGGTTTCTTGGGATAGGGATCAGGAGAGGATGAGAAAATTAAAGAGATAAGGTGGGGTCAGATGGAGCCTCTACATTCCTGATGAGAAGAAAGGAACAGCTCAATCACTGTAGCATGTTTATTTACATACTCAGAAGGATGATGTCAATTTCAATCCCGTTGCCTATCAATGCGTTGCTTGGGTTGTGTGGGGCCTTGGTGTTTTTCTGGGCTGAAGCACCTTCTTCAGATGGCTTGCCCCAGGTGCCCTTTGTTTTTGGGACAGCAATGCCCCAGCCCTGCAAGGGTGGTCAGTTTCTAGCTTCAATAGGCCTCAATGATTGTAGAATAAATCTCTTAACTTATCTTACTCAATTTTCCAAGGAATCTTGGTTCTTTCATTGAAGAAGTTTTTTATGAGTGTTTGATACAAGACTGTTTGTTGCTACAGTGATGTCATCACAACTCTGGAACTTCTCACCTGCCAGGAAGGTGACACACATAGTTACACTAACAGATGTACAGATTTATAGCTAATTTATTTGAAACGCTTTGAGTATTCATAAGGTTGAATATGGTTCAGCCTCTAACACCAGACCATTACCACAAGGATCTAACCCTATAGACTCCTCTCCCTGCGTGTCTGAAATCTCCTCTTTTGGCATTGTGAAAATTGATTAAAAATGCCTGTGGTTCTTTGATCTCCTTGTTCAATTAATTATTAAACTATTATTTTATGAGAAATAAATTTAGAGCTAAATTATTGTTATTTACATTTCCTCTTACCTGCAGTCTTACAGACTTCCAGTGTTAGAGATTCACTGTGATTGCAGAAAAATTGATTTTAAATACAATATATTGCCTTGTCATGATTTGTATTCTATTTCAGCTCTCTCTGATTGCCTACATAATTTATTTTTAAATTTACATTTGCATTTTTGGGTTACTGGACACCTGCAAACTTCTTTGGGCATTTGAGTTAAGCCATTGCATCATGCCTCCACAATATCATGTCAGCATAAAGAGTTTCCCCACAGTAAAATATACTGTGTGTTATAACAAAGGGGGAATCATGTACTCCATAATATAGATAGCAGATTTGTATTGCTGGAAAAGTCCTAGAATTTTATTGCTGAATAGTATTCTGTTGAATGGGAATATCAAAATTTGTTGTTTGGTGTTTTCATACAATGAAAGAATCTGGTTGCTTTCATTATTTATCAGTTATTAAGTGACTAATAATATTTCAAAAGAGAAATTTCTTTTGCATATTAAAGAAAATTGATTCTTAAAGTAAGAACAAAGATAAGCCATTAAATAATGAAAGTATATTTTGTATAGGTATCCTGTGTCTGACATTGGAATAGCCTGAAAATTGTAATAATGGAATATTTTTGTATCAGTCTTTACCTTTTGGAAGTTACATGAGAACTGAAGGAATAACATCTTACCTGTGCCCTTTGCAGGTTCAATAATGCTTAATATTCAAAATATAATTTTAATGTTATAATATTTATTTAAGCAATTTTTAAAGAAATATGGAGTTTAACCTTTCAAACCATTTCATATGAATTTTGGTAACTACCTTTAAGAGAATTTCAGTCACCTGTAAGACTTACACCTGCAGTGATCTGCCATATTCAACTATGTTTCTGTTCCAGGAACAAAAATAAAAAATGCACAGAATACAAAAAGAACAACTTTTGGGATACATTGTATTTTGTTTCTTTAAATTTATTTAAAGATTTTTACAACTTATGTCTTCCTTGCTCCTGAATACTTTTCTAGCTAGGTCAATGAATAGCATGTTTGTGTTTTACTCTTCACGGCTCAAAAAGCTTCAGTCAAATTTTGAATATATTTCTCCCCAAATCCTCACCCTTCAAGTTTGAATGTCAGTATATTTGTAAAATAGCCACGTGGATTTTCTGTTTTATTGTGCAATAATTTGTAAACAGTGCTACCCATCTGTCTTTATTGATGCAGATCTAAAATTACATTCATTTACAGGAACCACATGGATTTTTCACAAAGCGCTGGAAGGCGGCCTTCACATCCTTATTCCGCAGGCTGTAGATCACAGGATTCAGCATAGGGATCACTAGGGTGTAGAACACGGAAGCCAGTTTATCAGTGTGAAGAGAGTGCTTGGACCTGGGCTGGAGATACATGAATAGCAGTGTCCCATAGAAAACTGTGACAGCTGTCATATGTGAGCCACAGGTGGAAAAGGCTTTCTTCCTCCCTTCTGATGACTGTATCCTTAGAATAGACAGGATAATGTTGAAATAGGACAGTATAACTACAGCCATGGAAAAAAACAAATTTGTTGCTGCAGATATGAAGACCACAGTTTCTGCAAAGTAAGTATCAGAGCAGGACAATGCTAACAGAGGAACATTATCACAGTAAAAGTGGTTGATGACATTAGAAGAGCAGTAGGACACAGAGAATACACAAGATGAAACCAGAATAGCTGTGAAAATGCCATAGAGGTAGGTGAGAGACACCAGCAGCAGGCAGACCCTTGGACACACCACCACCATGTAGAGCAGGGGCTTGCAGATGGCCACATAGCGGTCATAGGCCATCACGGCCAGCATGAAGATCTCGGCCACAATGAAAACCAAAAATCCCCCCAGCTGGGCAGCACAAACATAGTATGAGATGGTTTTCTTGTTTGCTACAAAGCTGCTCAGCATTTTAGGGGCGATGACAGTGGAGTTGCCGAGGTTGATGATGGCCAGGTGTCGGAGGAAGAAGTACATGGGGGTTTGCAGTTGGGAGTCCACACTTGTGAGGGTGATGATAGCCAGGTTCCCCACCACAGTCAGCCCGTAGATGACCACAAAGATGAAAAAGAGGGGAAGCTGCAGCTCTGGGTGATCAGACACCCCTATGAGGATGAATTCAGTGACCCGGGTCATGTTTCCAGGAGCCATGAAGATGTCGGAAATTCATCTGTTTAGGGAAGAAGAAAATAAGAGTTTGCACACAAATGTGTGAGTTTTGGTACTTCCAATAGAGGACATAGCGAGTCCTGGGTAAGTTTTTTTTTTTTTTTTTTTTTTTTTTTTAGAAAAGAAAAGAGTTCATTTAAATCTGGTTGCACTGTCAAGGGAGAAAGTAGATGACTTCCAAAAGAGGAATCTTAATTTAGGGTGCAATATTGTCATTTTATGAGGGCTTTAGATAATGCCAATCTAGAGGATCTGAGCAGCAAAACTGATTATCTGAAGACTGTTTATTCTCCTACACCATGGAACACTTGTTGTCCTGGTGTTGAATTTGAAATTATGATTACACTTGAAAGGTCACTGTGCTCTGTTCCAAAGAAGGCTTTCAGCTTTAAATCAGGATATGAAATGGAGAGCTCTGCATGTTTTCTAAAGAAGAATACTCAGGACTGCTGGAGGAAAGTGAATGAGCCAGATAACATCATAGGTTTGTTTGTGCCTCCTCCATCTTTAACTGGGGTTCTTTGTTGTTGAATGGATTCCATGCCGATGTTTTTAGACATTACCTGGGCTGATTCCCAACATCTTAGTGGTCAAAAATGACTGTTAATGATCATTATCTTTGTCATTATTATCTTTGCCTTTGAGCCATTCCTATGTGACTGGATTTCCAAGAAAACTCAGCAGTTTTTATGGCTAACATGTAACATCTCCACCCACACCTGTTACAGAATCCCTTTTACAGTTTGTTGCCCAGTTTAGATCTCAGCAAGAAGCCTAAGCAAATAAGTTACCAACCCTGACAGTCAGCAAATTCAATGGGCCCTTAGGGTGTCTCAGCTCAGTAGGAAAATACAGTAATGACTTCTTCAGCCCTTATGTACCAAGTGACTTCATTTGGTTGTCAAGGGGAAAACGTGGTAGCTGCCCATTAGCAATGAAAAAGAAAATGAAGTGTTTAGCAGCTCAACTTCAGAGATTTATTTGAATCATTCACTGATCTAGCTCTGTTATGGTGCTCAGGGCTCTAGGTGAAATAAATACACTTACAATGGTACGGAGCATGAAAATAAGTATAATAAACCAAATAAATAACCTAAAATCATGCAACATTTTGAGGATTTACTTCCTTATTGTTTTATTAAATTATAAATATGTTCTTAACTTGCAAACATTTGAAGTTATCTGTCATATGTCTTAGCAAGCATGAGTCAGGCATGAAAATTACACAATGATAAATAATGTAAACCTTTTTCCAATTTCCATTTCAGGTTGTTATTTCAAAGAGGATTCTCCTCTATTTTTGTTATGTCTTCCTGCCATTACATGAATACTTGATTTGTATGTTTTTACAACAATATCTCTTAGATTTTTATTTTCATTTTATTTGTTATTACATGAGATAAAAATTCATAAACTTTTGTTTTTCAGTCTATTTTTAGGTTACCAAAAGTCTTGTCATATTTAAAAAATTATACCAATTAAAGTTGTATCATTTATCTAATTAATTAACATTATTCTTTATTGGATTTTGTTTCCTCTATTCTATTTGTTTATTAGCCTCCTGCAAGTTTGTACAAATTCTCATGTACTTCCCCTTGTAGGTTAATTATTTTAACTATTAAATATTTTAATATTTAATATTAAAATAGTATAAAAATATTACAGTACAGTATAAAAATATTATTTTTATACTATAAATAATATGTCACATTTTAATCTAGTTGTCTAGTAATCATAGTAATCTAGTAATCTAGTAATCATGTCATAGTAATCTAGTTGTCTTTAGTCAGTTTTTCAGTCTTGATACATTTCATTTTTACAATATGAATGTTTTCTTTGAATGGTTTTATGAAATATATTTGCACTGTGCTGACATACTATTTTAATATAGGTTGTATTTTTAAAATATGACTTCTTCCCTATAATTGCACCCATGAATGACCCTTGGCAGTCACACTGGATACATGTTGCCCAATCCAAGGAACTCAGCTCACAGTCTCTTCTCCAAAGGGGTGGACTTAGGCTCTAAGGATAAATATTATTTCCCCCATCATATGTCCTGCAAGCTCAAGTACTACACTGCTGCCCACATCCTCTGCAGTCACCTCAGACTGCAGCATCTATGTTATTGACCCCAACCACTCATTCCCTAACTGCACTGACAAGAGAACAAAGTTTATATGGTCCTGCTATAAACAGTTATCCTAAGGTATAGCCTAAACTTGATCACTGGCAATGCTAATAAGCTTGCATTTATAGATTATTTAAAAAGCACATACAGCATACAGGCCACAAAGCTCTAAAAAAATTTTAAAAGCTTGTAACTCACACACATGTAGCAAGGTACATATTAACTACCTCTACCAATTTCAGAAACCCCACTTTAGACCCATTGAAAAATTTATCTGAAACAGATAGATTGTTCTAAAGAGATGACACTCAAAAACTGCTCTGGTCACTGTGAACACTGACCATGGCTGAAGCCTGAGGACACAGTTCACAGGATTTCTTCATATCCATTCCCCTTGATTTTTTATTCTTTGTAGGTTGTTTACTTCAGTCCTTGATTCCCTGACCCATGCTAGATGCTTTTTTTGCCTTAAACTCTATGGATAGTTGCCTCAAGAGAATAGAAAAATCAAACACTTTACCAGGATTTCATGAGTGTACAAGACACAATGGATGCTTTCCTAGATCAGATTGACACCCTCTCTCACTTGACAAGAGTAATGTTACAGAACAGTCAGACCTCAATTTTGCCTCTTCCTAAAAACAATTTAAGGAAAAACTCTGTAATAAGGTGATCTGGGGGAGCTTGGCCAGAACCCATTTTAAGATCACTGACAACCGTAATGTTACTGCTTCTAGTTAAGCCTAGTCTCAGAAGATCATATATAACATGCCCAGCAAAGAATCTCTGGATAGACTAAAAGTGGAGGAAAATGTAATTGAAAGTGTCCCACACCCCTAACCAGTGTACTTCCATTTGTTAATTTTCCAGTTAATCTTTCCTGTTCCACATCCAGTTGCTTCTATCTCTTAGAAATAACTGGTCACTCTGGTGCACATCTGGTCACTATGAAGTACTTTGTATACACCAGTCTCCAATTGCCAGGCCATTCTGCCTTTTTACTTCCTGCTTGCTCATCTCAAAAAGTCCTAGATCACAAGATATCAGGGCCTGATATTTTGGAAGTGATCCCAATGAGTGTCCACTGACATAAAATAAATCTGCCTCAAAATCCGGGTGCTATTTCAGTATGTCACTGCGGACCATGGGCTTTCAGTTTTAAACTGTCTCTGTTGCAGTTATGAAGAGGCTGAATTATAGAGATTGGAAAATGCTACTCTGGGGAATCAGTTAAGTTTTGAAAAATACAAAACCACTTACAAGGCTGTTATTAGATTTCTGTGGTAAGATAGTGCAGGGCACACCAAAGGAGAGAAACTAGAAATTGAGAGATGATGCTTAATTAGACAACTGAGAACTGAGGTAAGTTTTGCTCTGCAAGATAAATCACACAATGAATTATGTGCCAGATGTGACAGGAAGAACTGAACACAGATAAACTTTTATGAGAATTTTCACGATGTAATCAGAAGCCATGGCATTTCTGAATCTTATAGTGTATCACTTAAAATGAACTAATAAAAGTCATATATCTACGTGTTTTGCTCTGAGTGCTTATGAAGTGTTTATTCAAATTAAGACAATCAAAAATTACTATCTAGAGAACACCACTGTGAATAGTCTTCTTGGTGATAGAGTAATTTCAGTATTAATTAGCAGAGAGTATTTTTACATCTATTTCAAGATTTGCCTGTCCATACCTATATTTTAATGTTCATTCAATCTTCATCATTTTCCATTGAAGATAAACACTCTCAATTTAGAGGTTTTACCCTATGGGAGAATAACAGGAAAATAGATTAGTTTGAACATTCCATTTTACTTTGGATGAATTAAAAACAAATGTATTTTCTTTCTGTTTTTTACTTCTTTGAAAATAACAGTTTTAGTCTTATCAAATTAGACATATAATCTTCAACAGTATAGGTCTTCCACTTGTTGAGTAAATGCCTTTCCTCAAATGGAAGCCCATTTTTTAAATATCTCATCAAAGTTCTTTTGACATATTCTCATACATACTTTGGCTGCCTTGTTGTATCATCAGACACATGGTTTATCTGAAAGAGTTCCACTACTGGACTAACTACATTGTATTCTTGGGTATTTATCAGTGTGGTCTCAAGTCTAATTGATAAGTGTCCCAAGGAGAATGTACTGTACAGTCATATCTAAAAGAGGAATCATTTTGAAATTAAGTACTTGTGAATCTAATTTCCTTTCATAAATGCAATGGTAAAACCATTGGATTTTCATTTTAGACACTATCACAACAATAAAATTATGACATCAATAGGCTCCCTGATGAAGACATTCTTTGTTTCAGCAGTGGTATTATTGCTTAATATGTGGGCTATAATTGTAGACCTTATTTGGATACATAAATAGCTTCATTGTATTATATACCTGCATTCAGGTAAACAGTGAAAAATCTTATAAATGAATGCTGCTACATGTATTGCATTATTCAGTTATGCATAAATTACAATTTCTCCCAAAGTCAAAGTAGATTTTAAGACACAGTTCACAGTTTTTAAATGCTCTTATACAAAAATAGAATAAAATATCATCTACCCACCTCTGCTGGGGACACTGCTTCAGGCTCAGTGACAATGTCTGCTTAGCTGCAGTGAGGAGTGCCAAGGGTTCTACAAACCTCTGAGGCCTTAACTCAGAAGGACAGGTATCTTGGGAGCCACACACTTGCTGTTCCATCCTGGGGGAAGATGACCCTGGGGCCTGGTTCCCCAGTGAGTTCTCTTCTAGGAATTCAATGACACACTTTCAAGTTCTCTCTGGCTTTTAATTCCCATGTTACATTCCCACCTTTCTTATTTCTGTCATGGAAGTATTT